TATATAAAAATTTCTGACGTGTGCTGCTACTTCTACTATAAAGTTAAAGTCCACAGGATGTTCCTGGACGACGCCCCCCCTGCAGGTCAGACAGGGACACGACACGTGACAATGAGCAGGTTTCAGCTGAGATCAGTCGCCGCCGTCGTCATGGTGATAATCACCTGGTTAAGACCTGGATGAGCTGCTGATGTAACGACGAGGATCAGAGCGAGAACCTGGACGATCCCAAAACAATAAATAATCAATAAATTATACACAGAAAGGAACCTGCTCACAAACTCATCTGTCAATTCTAAATCAATATCATCAATAAATAAAGATCACATTTACTCTGTAAAACATTTACTCTGTAAAACATTTACGCTGTAAAACATTTACTCTGTAAAACATTTACGCTTTCATCTTGATGTCGTCTCTTTAGGATTACCTGGCTCACATCATCGACTGCTCTGATTTGTCGATTCGTCCTGAGCAGGTTTGCTCTCTGTTTGGAAACATCGAGGACATTTACGAGTTCAACAGGTGACAAACTGAAATATGTTGAGAAGAAGTGATGTGACCTCTGACCTTTGACCTGAGTCTCGTGTGTTGTAACGTTTCCTCAGGGTTAGCGCTTGCTGGTTCGTTTCAGAGGGTGAGTTTGTTTGTCGGACCGGCGTAACCCGTGTGGAGTGTTTTGCTGTGGACACGCACACAGACACATGTTTTTATTTGGTCAGCGGCATGAAGCACACTGGCTCCACCTGCTGGACAGGTGGATCCATTACGTGTCAGAGTTTTCTCTCACTGTTTCTTTCATTGAAGTGAAAACTGATCACATGATCTTCATCTGTGGTTATTGGATCGATGATGTTTCCTCACACTACACCACTCCTCCGCTCCCTTCACTGGTTACCACTTCCAATGTGAAAATGTTGCCATGGTTACTTCACCTGCTGAAGATCATGTGATCCGATCAAAAGCTCCATTGTGACTAAATGCTGTGTTTGTTTCATTGTGAACTGATTTTATCAAACTGATTCAGAATTTCAGAACAAATTAAAGATTCATTTTGTTCAGAAGTGGGGCTTGTTGTAGTGTCGTCATGGTGACGTGTTTATTGTTCACAGTGAGCTGCTTCAGGCTCTCGACCTGTGTGACAACGACCCCGTCAGGGTCGCTCGCTGCTTCGTCATGAAGGTGAGAGAATGAATCTGAATCTGAATCAGAATCTGAACTTGAAACTGGACTTTACTGTTTCCTGTTTGTTTCAGAGCGAGTACTTTGAGATCTACACTCAGTACTGCACCAACTACCCCAAGTGAGTTCTGACTACACACTTCCTCATGTTGTTTTACAGAGGTTTGTTCACACCTGTTTCTACCTGAGCTCTGTCCCATGAAGCAGGGTTTGTAGTTATCACTTAACTTCAGGTTAAGTTTTCCGTCCTACGAAGCTCGTTCACATGTTCTCGGGGTAAATTACCATGGTAACTTATCTTGAGCAGCTGACCTGCTCCAGGTAAAGTTGGAGATAAGAGATCAAACAGTATAGAAGCTCCGCCCACTGACCACATGGTCACGTTATATATTTTTACCAAATGTCCCCAGGGGGCGCTGTAACTTACACTTGGGCACAATCCCAGATGTGTCACCAGCTGTTCTTCTGTGTTTAGCAGCTGGAACTGTTTCTTTTATTCTGGATGTTTGTTCTCCTCTGATTTTTATTATTCAACAGTTTGATCTTCAGCTCTGCTGTCAGTCAAACCGTCTGTGATTGGTCATATGCAGTAAACTCCGCCCCTTTCATGTGCACACACTCATATCTAAAAGAAAAGGAGTTGATAACCAGCGTCATGTGACCACTTAGCCTGACTGTGTTTGTTAGGTTAAGTTCAGCCGGATATGTTGAACCAGCTTCGTAGTACAGACCCTTTTCACACCTGTTCACACCTGTTCACACATGTTCACACCTGTTCACACCTGTTCACACATGTTCACACCTGTTCACACCTGTTCACACATGTTCAC